TTCATACAGAGCATAGGTAAGAATTAGATCCCCTCGGAGGCGAAAGTACTCCAAGGAAAGAGATCAAGCATCGCGAGACGCGTTTCGTAGCCCACGGATTTGGGTCCTCACTTATGTGGCGTTCTGTACCTTTATTTTACTTCCATTATAACACTACGTATTTCATCAGTTGCATAATCGTTTTTTGTTTGAATACGAAAAGCTACAAAAAACGCGCATTTGTACAATTTCACATAATACAAGCGTAGTGACGTGCTTTGACTCACTCCTCTTATTTCGCTCGCGCTTGCAGCGGTCATTCGCGAGTCTCATGTACTAACTCTGGTACCAAAACATTTCAGACATCTTCGGAATCTATTATATGTGGGAACTGTTCAGAAGAAGACCTCTGGAACAACATAATTGGATTATCGTTTATTCGCTGACCTAGGCCAACGACGAACTATTTTAAAGAGAACGATTTTTGGTGAGTCCGTTCCGTCTGATCTCTTTATTTTTCTATACGCAACCTAGCGTAATTATTTTTATTTCTTTGCCACACACTCCTGGTGAAGTAACTTATTTGGTAGCCAGACCACTACACTTAGAAGTTGAAAAGACCAATACAGATGTTTCATTTTAATCTGGACGCTCGGAAAATAAAGTGGTACTTCTTTCAAAACCTATGGAACACGCCAATGCAAGGAACTAAGCCGTGTTGGCGAAAGTTGATGAAGAACTATCCTGTTTGAACGAATATTTAGAGCTTTCAGTCTCCAGCCTTTTGGCTGCAAAGAACGATATCCAGCTCTGTAATGCGATAATAAAGACAGGAATGGTGTCTCTAGTGGACAGGCGAACGAGGTATTTAAGACTAATCATCTAGGAGCCTAAAGTGTAATCACGCCAAAAAACTGCGCAGTTGCTCATTGGTGGCAACCGAAGAAGCCTGAAGACAAAAACTTCACGCAGAATGGCTATGCAAAAACAAGAGCGTGCGAACTTCTAGGTTTCTAGTCACACTTTCCTTTCCAACTGCCGCATAACAAATCTCAGAACGAGCTGCCATTATTCAAAAGTCCTTTCCAAGGATCAAACCTTCACCCGAGAATCGCTATAGAGAGGCGCGAAAACTGAGCCACAGCGGACCTGGAATGAGGGCACTAAACCAACATTCGCTTAACGGCACATCAGCTGACCCCAAACTTATGGTCAGCTTGCTGGTAGTTATGGAACCTGGTGCTCTTAAAGGCGTGACCCGACCCGGGAAACTTGGGCAAAAGCCTCGATCCCGTGTATCAATCCGTGAATCCGTAAATCCGTGCCGATGCAACCAGCCGCCACCCCAGACTTCAGCGTCTTCTCGCTCGTTGCAGGCCATCAACTATCAACGACAGGTATGCCCGCGATAAGGCTAGGCTCGCAAGAACACAGCAATTGACATATGCGGGGTTACAGTCACCTAATTCTTTGGTGAGCGATTAAGGCGAGGGGTGAGCAACGCACCAAGTTAACGAAT